TTCCGCTCAACACGCCTATAATTCACGGTGCTTGCTATCGATAAAATTTATCTCAGTAGTTTCAAGTCCAGAATTACGCTTTTAACCCATCTCCATTAAATTAGCATATGGCTAGGTCATTATCCAGTTTCCCTGCCAATCCGATGAAGTTAACGCACAACAGTCGAGTGCAATATTGTTCTCAATTCACCCCCACCGGACGGTTGCTACGACCAAAATAACCAGAAGCGGTTCCTCCCCATTAAAGAAATTTAGAGCGATCACACCGAAAAACGAGGAATGAGCAATTACTTGTATTGATAACAGTTTCGACTCCAACGAAGCCTACATATGCATCAGCATCAAGCAAAAAGGTATGAACTGCAACCTTCGGACTCGGAATTCTTCAGCGCGAAGATTACTGAAGTGAATATTTGAATTCAAAAAAAATCGAAAGCGCGAAATATCATTGGCTAGAGCGCGAATTTACTAACCGGAAGGTCTGTGATTTGAACCAATTCATCACTACTTCTCCTGTCTCCGGATTTATTACTTGTCCACCGGCTGGGCTTTCCAGGCTAAACAATACTCGACCCTATTATGGCCAACTGCCAACAGCTAAACCACCAGTGAAAAAGGCACCACAAATAGTTCTCATCCTAACATCGTGTTTTATTCCAAGCGTAGCGTTCAAGTTACACTTATATGTTCTTTCCATCCACATGTGTTGGATTTATGAGGAGAAATTATCTGACAATCGGGTTAAATATTGTGCTCTCCGACAGTATTCTAAAATTGAAAAGATGTTGTTGTTGATAACTTTATAAGTAATGTGATCCTGTAAGGGGTATCTAGGTGACGACGGCAAGTATTGATGAATAACCCTAGGCCACATGATAGTTCAGTACATATGAATTGTTAAATGTAGGCATCAGTCACTGGACTCTCGGTAAGTGATTCGTTTTTTAGACAGCGCGCCGAAAGACGTAGGACCAATGGCCATAATAGCATTTCGATCAACTAATTCAAATATTATATCTCTTGAACAGCCGACTGATGCATATGCAATTCCCCACAGTTTAGCTTAGTCTAGGTCGTCTCAAGGAAGTCAGTGATGTGTAGTCTGTACTGACTGCCTTTTGGCATTCCATGCCTTTCCTTGCGCAATTATTTTTCCATTATGTGAACAAATATTTACGATCCCAGTTCCACACTTTCTTATGTCACTTTTGCGACGCGAGTGTCAGAATTCTAATCAGCTCACAGTCCGCGATCCTAGCATATCCTTGTCATTTTATGCATTCGGCTTCGTCTGGTGTTTGGCAGCCTCGTCGGCCTCATTATGTTATATTTCTAGAAAACCGCGCCTGTTTACAGTGGCCAAAAGTGATCTTCAGGCGGGTGGTTAACATCATGCCTAATCATCATCTGATCATCTGGATGCAAAAGACTCCTGTACTACTGATCACAACAAAAATCTTTTGACATTTATTGGAAGATAACTCTAGTCCCGGGGGAGTCAATTGATATGACCCGGAATAAGAAGAAATGGGCATCGCTTTACGCTTAATTTATCCGTTAACCCAATTGTTTCGTATGTGAGACAGGGCAGTGTATTTCCAAAAATAAGAGCCCAAGCTCACATTGCGTAACCGAGGAAACGAAGATCTTTGGACGACATTTGAAACTGCGAACTCTGTCAGCAAGCGAGCTTTCGCGGTTTTTGCCATAAAATTCTCAGCCACCAGTATATAAATAACGAATTCCGATGTTAATTATTTAAATCCATCGTAATGTAACATTACGCTACTCCTTCAGAAGACCACACACCCTCGAAATTGACTAAAATGACACTTTAAAGCACACTATATTTTTTGGATGATGGGAGACGGGAAGAGGGTCAAGATTTCGCTCTCTTGGTGAGATCAGTGCTTCACGCTTTCGCAGTGGATATAGAGTAAAGGGAAAGATATATTTTAAAGAACACTCTTTTGGGTAACACTTATCACAGAAAGGATATCCGGTGGGCTAACAGCTGAAGGCTGTCTAGTGCGATCGAAATAAGCTAGTGTTTGGTCATAGTCCACTTTTCTTGCAGATCTTCCCTAACGTTTCTTTTCTTGGTGCCGAAAACGCCTAAGTTCGTTGGACAAACATACCCTTATTGCTTCTTTAAAGTGATGAGCACACAGGCTTTGCTGATCCTGAAGATGCTGGTTGTAGAGCCAACCGTCATAAGAAGAACCGATTTTGACTCTCGCGGGATACAACCAGCCCTGAACCGACATCGCACTATCTCGTGTTGCGTGGGATCCCGGAAATGGACAAGGAGGGTGACCAATAATTCTTACTTGTGCCAACGTTGACGAAAACTTGTTAATGTCGTCAAGTTTTACCACACTTCGATGGCATTTCTGTCTTATGACACCCAAAAGATTTGTTTGACATTTGTCAACACAGTTAGCTCACACCATCAACTATGACTAAATGGACATAATCCTCATGACATCTAGAGTGCTGCACTGTCTGAACCAGACTTATATGGCACGTCATAGGACACGCCACTCGCAGTGAGGCTGAACACACAGGTATCGTGCGATCAGAAGCATGAGTTGGCTGTTTCATAGGCTCCCAACATTCATGCTGACCATGAATATTAGTAAACGGTTGATTGGTTCTTTTTTCCATTGATTGATGCCTACTTATCATATGTGCCTCACCGCGGGTGCTACCTTCACGCATGTGTTCACTTTATGTTTTGCCCTGTGGCTCCTGTGCACAAGGTATCTCGCCATTCATCTGTCATTGGGTTCACTACAGGTAAGTACAGCAACACCCGGGAGGAAAACTCCACTGCTAGTTTTATATTCATCACGTAATCTCACACGTAACCGACCTCTTTCTTTTTCACTAGTATTCACCTATACAGTTTAGATAATGTTCCGTCCCAGAAAACCATACTCTTCTTGGATACGATTACCTTGAGAATGATATTTTTTGAGCGAGCAAACTTGGTCCTAACAAGGACCACTCAAAATGTTCCGTTGATCCAGATCCACCTTCAACAGTATTCAGAAATTCATACATTGCGCCTCCACTTATTGCAAAATTGACCAGTTAGCCGAATAATTCGTTGAAATAAGCTTATTTCTGTCGGACTCTTAGCATGAATACTACATGCATAGCACAGATTCCATGCTGATTTTATAGCCTCTTCGAGCAAACCGCTTTAAGCTGAACCTTGAAGGTTCTCTACCGCAGTGCCTCACAAGCAACCAAACTGAGTTCGTCTCTTCAGGTAGCTGTTCAGAAGGGAATGAGATTATCATGAGCGGAACTACTCAAAATGTTGCTGAAGACTCTTTTACAGCCCACGACCGGCTTCGCCCTTCCTGGGGCTCATCAGGCAGGCGCAGTCCCCAATTTTCTGCCAATTTTATATTCCACTTGGACAGATCTCGACAAGCACACTCATTTGCATATCAACTGGTCTTCCACGGAAGACTCAACTACATCTCTCGTTTGTGGTATTCTTCACTTGATACATTTGGTACAGCGTGGTATGATCTTTTACCTTTTTGGTTTCCATTTGAAATGCAACCCCTCAGATATCCTCTAAAAGTGAACCCTTGGTGTTCACAGAAATGCGAATTGTGGATCAAATATGCCAACAAGTAAACCACATTTAGCTCTGTCCTTATCTCGTACCCATATTCCTATCTCCCCTTCATTTTAGGACCCGTTCCAATTCAATTATAACCTGTCCCTCCATTTTTGTCACCCATGATGCCACAATGGGTTAAACGAAAGGCTTGATACTCACCTACTCGCTACGCACACAGGCACTTCTGGCTTATCATGGGGGTCACTCAAATCTTGCAGTTTGCAAACCTCGAACAACGCCTCTGTCCCTAAAGTATTTCACCCCGTGGTCACGTGCCCCATGTGTGAATTCTACCAACCACTGTGCGTTCACAATTTTCCCATTTCTCGATCACTATATTTGTTGGTGAACAGGAGAAAGGAAGCGGAAGAATGAGGTTAGTGAGGAACCACAAGTCATCATTCTTTTCTTTGTATGCAATCACACACATGGAGTCAGTTAAACGTGTGCGCGCATGCCTATGGGGCAAAGCAAATCCCAGAAGCGCACATGGGGGTGTGCTGCGATAGGACAATGTTGTCGGTTTTGCGTTTGATAAATGTCCGACTCTTTTTGAAGTTTCCAACCTACCAACCGAGTCGTGCAGTCGGACACGCCAAGCCTACTGACCAAAAGTAGAGCGTAAATCACGCAAGCGCTCATGCACATACACTCTAGAAGTGCCCTGGTGTCAGGGTAGGAGGTTGCGTAAGTAGTGATGGAGGGGAGAGGTGGATGGACAATCGGGAGGAAGGCCAACTCGTGCATGTTCTACACCGATACAGTCAAATTCAGTGGTGCTGGCCAACTGTGGATACGTAGCCCATCCAATTAAGTTTAAACTTCCTGCGAGCTGTTCTGTTCTTCAACCCATAGGAATGATTATGAATGTGAACAGTAGCAGCCACTTCCTGGCTGTCGGTTAGCCTTTCCCCATTTTCTTCAGGCACGACAACACGCCCAGCTGTGGTTACGCTGCTGTTGACAGGACAAAGATACGGGTAAGCATGTCATCTACACCCAATCAGAGGTTTAGAGACAGCCAATAAATCAACAACTTTTGGTTTGATTTAAAGCTTTGTCTGTTCCATCCAGGGCGTGACAATTTGATGCTTCGGTATAGCAGCTGCTGTTGCATATTCGTTTGACAAGAGTTACGAAGAGTCTTAAAGTGGGTGACATCATACCGTTTGTCCCGTAAATCCCTGAAATAATTGCAAGTTAACATCTAAAAAGAAATATCGGTCTCAACCTTCATTTTCATTGGAAGTGTACTTGCGTTCTGATCGCAGATCAGCAGCTTTCAAAACCAACTCCCGTGCATAGCATCCTTGAGAAAAGAAGAGTTAAACTTATGAGTAAAAGCAGGAAATCACACCTGACCAGCAGCCAAGTCTAGCGACTCGATTTGTTCTGTTAGACAAATCACAGGGGGAGGTTTTCTGCAGTGGCTTTGGGACATCCTATTACACAACTCCAGGCGAATACATGCTGATCAGATCAACTAATCGACTAAACCACCTTTGCTCGTAGAGGTCGTTCAGGTCTAATAGACAGGCAAAGAAATTCAGAATTTGTGTGAATCGTACCAGTTAGTACTTGGAAGCGTACTTGTAAAACACATTGTTGCCCCGTAGAATCAGCTTTTGTCGATTACTGCGAAACGAAACCCAAGGTGAGTGAAGGGGCACAGTAGCCAAACAATGATCTCCCAAGTTTAGAGTCACAAATGCTTATTCGGACCGACCATGATAAAAACTAACTAGATAAAGAATTTAGTTTGTCGTATACTGTGGTAAATTCGGTGCCGTTGAACGGGACATGTGCCAGTTACATAAAGAGAAAAACATGCTGGACAGGCTGGTACAGCGCATCGGGATTCAAAGTGAATGTCATGAGATGCTCTCGTAAAAGCGTGGAAAAAAATCAACAAAGTACCTTCCCTAACCTGTACTGCGGGTTCTGGCCCGTCACAATATGTACAAATAGGTCGTTTGAACTGTTTTGAAAAAGCCATGATGATGGATAGGTTTTAGCTCTGGAAGGGTAGATTAACACGATCCGTGGTTGGAACAATATGTATCACAAGTCGTGCTGACACTTTTCGGCAAATGCACAACTTTTTTAAAACAGCAGACGGTCACGGAAATTTGAGGTTATTGTCGTTTAACGTGAAAATATGGTAATCGTGCATACTTTTCACACTCTAGGAACCTCAGCTTGCGAACTCCTATTGGTGATGCCAAGTCTCATCACAGCCCGGTAGAAACATCATGCTTGCGTTTCCCGTTCCCCCGCTTCCGTTTCCTCTTGACTGAGGGTGTGGTTGTTGTTGGGGCTGTTGGTCTATGTAAGGGATCATTTGTGCATGGAATGTGGCTTTATCGAGTTTCGAATTGGTCCACGTTTGTTTGGCGCGTATCTCATTCCCGGGTTGAAGTGCAGGAATGCCGATCAGAGATGATTGATCTTCATCTTCGCTTTCGTGTTCTTCATCAACCTCCCTGTGTGTAGATCTTGTCGTGCACTGATCTCGCCCGGAATGAACTAGTTGGTCTGGACCAAACCCGCCCAAAGCAGTATTCCGGGAACCTAATCTATCTACTGCGGAATTCACATCATTGGCCGAGAAGCTGTCGGGGCTGAGGCGACGTTTCTTGATCACATCTTCGTCGCTGTCATCGCAGAGTGAGGCCTCTTTCCTACTCTTCTTTTCGTGTCCCGATCCAAACGAACTTGTTTGCTCTGAAAGCTCTAACTGATCCAAAGTACCTGGGCCATTGAGTTTGGCAATATTGTGATCTTTCTTCCATTTCATCCGTCGGTTCTAGAAAGTAAAAAATAAGCATGAACCGAGGAATTTCTTGCTCTTAGAACAAGGCGACGAAGGAATTAAAGCAATTACTTTGCTGAGGTGGTTCGTTTTGTATGCCAGAGGGAGGTACGGTCTTGAAACACAAGCCCTGACTTTGTAATATTGCGAAAAGTCATAAAGAAACTTGTAAATATGCAATTATTTCTACCTGTTAATAAATATTTGAGTCACGGTTGCTTTTTGGTAGTCATATTTTCCTGCTTGAACATTTCCTGTGTCGTGAGACTACTTTCCTAGCTAGACGACACCCAGAGAGGGTGAAGAGTTTGTGACAAAACAAAATATAAAGTTTTGTATCGAGTTAGGCAAAATAATTTACCATGCGTACTTTAAATTGGTGTGAGACATCCTAGTGCGATCCTCAGTCAGTGGTTGCATGATCCCTAAGGCCAGTCAGTGAGTTTAGGCGCTTCATTCCAACCGGCGGTCACATTTCGATCTTCGATGGGAACGCACACGTCCGTCGACGTAAAGCAGTAGCTGAATCCGGTTCGTTGTCAAGTGTGCGATACTTGTCGCACACTGACTGAATTGCTGTCAGTTTCACCAAGCAACATTTTAGGACCGTGAAATATGGAAATGTCTAGCTTTGCTGGCTTGCAAAACGGAATTCAAGGGAGACATAAGTCCATTGCTATTTGAAGACAGCGCCCGTACAGTGAGCTTTAAACAGAATAAAGTCGATGGCCGGATGGTGATGACCTTTGGTTGATCTCAACGTATTAATTACAAGAAAAAAAAATAAACAATTTGTCCATCTGCAGCACCTTTTCGGTGCAAGACTGCGATGCAGCTAAAAGCTAGCACAAAGGTCGAGGTACTTCCAGATTACCCAAGCCCAACCAAGAGCATTCGAAAATCCAAGGTTAGGTTCTGACCACGATCCATGCGGTCACCGGTTTCGCGCCCTAACAACTAGGAACGTTACAGCTCAAAAACTTACTTCACTGCCACTTGTTTGAAAAGTCCGTTACCCAAGGCGCATTGCAACAGCTGTCCCATTTATTACGAGTGATTTGAGGAAGACTTTCGAGAGCATTCTGAGACAAGAACTTGGGCAAACCACTATTGTTCTGAAACATACCTATCATTAGCGTATTGACTATTTTCGTCCTTGCAAACAATACTGGTGAGACATAATTCGAAACGAGTCTAAAAAAACGTTCATTCGTTTAATGCCAAAGGAAGCCTTTGAGTGACACTGACCTTAAAACTCAGGCTTGTTAGCTGCAACGAAAGCAGTGTCCCTAAGAAAGTACATAGACTCCTGCATATGAACCTTTCAATATTCACGAAGATTGAAATGGTATACTTAGTAAAATATTAGCTAGTCAGATTTGGCAACGAAATCTTGAGTAGGGCATTTATAAGGCCACTGAAAAGATTGGAGTCAGTGAAGGAATATCAGAGTTTATGACAACAAAATGATCATCATCTTGAAAACAGCTTCGTTTTTACCATTTACAGTAACCGCGAGAATTGGAAATTGGCCAAACTTCCAAATATCGATAAGGTATAAAAGAAATCTCGAACTGATTTCTGCACATGTGGCATCGTCAAGTTTTTTTATGCGTATTAAGAACAGAAATCTGAAATCACTGAGTCACCCAGCCAAAGGTTAACTGCTGCCAATCTTCTTTTTGTAACCCCAGTGAAAGAGACTTAAAATGTTGTCTTAAAAGTGTCAGGTCGAGTATATTATGAAATTTTTTGAAGTCAGAACACAACGTATTGGAATAAGATGCTATGATGTGACATTTCAGTTGCTGTGGATAACAAAAAGTTACATATATTTAAAATGTTATCTGCGCAAACAAATGGTCTGTGTTTCCACTTTCATCAGGAGAGTCATATGAGATTAGAATTTCAGGCTGACCCAGTACTCATTCCTCTAGATTTAAGACCACTGACATGTATCGAGTCTCCTCTGTCTTCCTCTCTTTCTCTCTGTCACTTTCTGCACATCATTATATATACAAGTATATATATATATTATATATATACGGTCTCAGCCACATCACGCTCTGCAAGTGGCTTCCTGTTTAGATTACTGCACTACATTATCCATGAAATATTGAATGAGTGGATAAGATAATTCCGGATCGATTACACCCCCAACTTGGAAATACAAATGGCATAATTCTTGTTTTTTTTCATCACAACGACTGGTTAGCAACTAAAAAATAAATATCTCGGCTGAATTTCATATTATCTCTCCTCTGGGTTTTGAGTACTCTTCAACAGGCGCTCTCAGCAAGCGTGAAATTGCTCACTTTCGTGCAATTCCTTAATAAGTAATTGTATCACGTTTAGTTATATTTAGCTGCATCATCTGCGGCGAATGATCGCTCCTAATGCATTTGCTGGTTTCAGGTCAATTTTTGCCGGTGAGCGAAGGTGGGATGTCAGCGCGCTCTGCCTTCACCCAGCAACACTGGGGTTTTTCGAAGTGCAGCTTCATTTCCAATGCCTTTTTTTGCGTTATACGGATAAATTCTAGACACTTAGCATGTCCTCTGTTTATGAAACTGGGAATTAGATGAAACATTGAAGAAGATTTTCGCAGGTCCTATCAACAGTCTTTGGTCAAGAGCAACCCGGGGAGACGCTTAACGTTCTCTCTGGAGGTAATTTCGCCAAAAAAGACACCTCAGTAGAATAAATTGGACAATATTATATTTCTTTACTCTTATTGCCTTCGTTTATGTAAGATTTTTGGGGAAATCAAGAAGAACGGATGCCTGGAGTGATCGCCCAACACATCCAAACACATGGAAAATGCATTACACAAAATCAAAAATTGGAAATTAGTCTGGACGTGCCATGTCAATCAAATGCGTATCCGATGCACAGGATTACCTTACCGTTTCATCTCGCATTCTATTGCTACATCTTTGGGTCTGAGTGAAGATGAGACAGAAAAAGTAGCTGTCAGTTCTCCATCAAGCCCTGTACCCCCAGATGGGACATTCCTTACGCCTCAGACCATCTGTAACAAGGCTTGTTATTACTCCTCGTTCTAAAACCTACCATAAAGAACCAAGTTTTTGAAGATTTCTATCGAACTGCTTGCCAGAAAGAAGGGTGTACGATGTCCGTTTGACAAATCAGCCTACGCCACTGTTTGACGTTAGTAAAACACAATGAGATTCACTCATTTTTGGACTCAGTTTTCCTGTTAGCATCAGGTATGATGCGTAGTAAACAGTACTCTCAACGACGATAGAATCTAAAGTCTGACCCCAGGGCAACCATTCAACAGTCATCCATTACCTGGATCAGTTTGTACAGAGTCACTCGAAAGAAACACTTTTTATCAATAAAAGTATGAATGGCAGTTGCTCTGTGAAGTTCGTGTTGTAGATACTACGTAAATCATCCTCCAACCGGAGAAAATGCTTCAAATTAGGGTAGTTAGTGATTTGTAGTTTATTACAAGATGCGACTATCAACTTAATATTACTACGGCCAACAATAATTCATCCGCCGCACTACCCTCATTTAACGTGGGATCAGGGAGACCATTGCAGGATTCACCATTTTCTAGGAATGTTGCCTAGTTAGATAAAACTGATTGTTTTTCACTGGGACAAAATATTTAATACTAACTCTATGTTACGGCTATTTACACGTTCACTTATCTTTAACCGATACGTCCTCCAACATTTTAAGTTGCTGTGATTTTGAACGCGAAGTATACCACAGTGGTCGAAGCTACGCCCGATTAGTCATAACGACACACTTGATTCTCACTGAAAACGTAGAGCAATAAAAGCAGATCTCTCGGTGCATTGCATAGAATATCTCATGCAACGTGGCTTTGAGAATACGTTGTTGACTCTGGCATATCTCCTGTCCGCAGCAGTTTAGTTATGAGAATGTTTTGGCGATCAGGTGAGTACCTATGAACCGAAAAATATTCACTGTCACTTGAGCAAGCACGCTGAACCCTTGGTTTGTAATATACTTAACAGGACCTCAATTTTTCCTATCCGTCAGCATCACGCTTGAAGTCACGCTATCAGATGTAAATGACGGGGTAGAAAACAATCTTTCCACTATCTGTGGGAAAAACAAAACTTTTCGCAAGTCTGTTGTGGTTTCAATGCCTCAAAGTAAGCAACTGATTATTTGGAGACACGGCGTGAAGCGACTCGCCAAATGTGCATCCATTTGCATTATATATATTATGAGTTTAAATCTATCTTTAAGGCTACTCACAAGGTCACTGAAAACTCTGCATGGCCTGTTACTGATTTCACTCCATTTGGGCTCATTACATGAATCGTAATCAGACTTACTTCTCACTTGAAGGCAATTTTGTTCGCCTGATGCGATGAACACTTATTTGCTAGGTGGGTTGGCGAACCTAGCTAAAACCCAGCCACCCTGCTCGCTTACGATGTTCTCCATTGACTTCAAGGGTGGTTTTGAAGACAAATTCTATATTTGGAGTTACTTTTCAGTTGAAAGTTGGGATGGCTTTTGTGCGACAATTCATAAAAGTCGTATTTTTTACCACAAGCAAACGACTCTCCATTAAGTATTGAATTTCTTGAATCATTGATGAAAATCTGGATGCCGCTGGCTACAGGTGTATACCTAAAATAATTACTGGTCGCTTTTGTCCTGTTCCCCACTACTTATTTGGTTCGTTGCACCAGTATACGTCAGACTGGTTTTTATTAAACCCGATTTCAGTTAAACTAAACTACACACCCATCAAGTTGTACAGCCCTGCGCCATTTCTGAACAGTGACTATTTCCTCCGAATGAGAGAGTGGAAATGCTGCTACGTTTCAGGCAAAGCATGAGCAGTACAACTCCCTAGAATTTTCTTCTCACAAATCAGGAAGGTAACTTATGTGGTCAACGTCCCGACGAGTGAGAAATGAGTTAAATGGACTATTTTAATGAAATCCCTGTATCAGTATCGGAATGCGACACAACACGAATAAGCCATACTTGCAAGAACTTAATATCACCCCTTCGGATTGCTGATTTGCAGCACTTCCGTTTGCACTTGCTTTACACCGTTGACATATTAAGGAACAGGGAAGAGGGGACAGTCTCTTTTGTTTCGTTCATGTGTGGCGTTGTTGTCAACCCACCACGCATGTGTCTCCACCGGGAAAATGAAACATTCACTTTGTCTGTAGGATAGCTTTCTACCGTTTGTAGACTAATAAATAGTTGGGCTTACGGGCTGCCTGCCGGCTCAGTCTGATCGCCGACAGAGAAAACCAGTGGCGAATGAACTACATGGATCAAAGAAGACTGCCGCCAACGCCATTACCATCAGTACAGCCACTACCACATTCACGCTCGCATTTCTTTGAGGCACTATCTATGTGAACTTACCGGAGTGGTTGGTGCAGTCTATTGTGCTTGTGGGTCAGTTTTAATTGATGTTCGTCAGGAGACACCGTCGGTGGCTGAACGGTTTTGTGGTACTAGGGTTTTCGTAGGTATGTGTTTGTGTGCCTTATTGTGTATGCACTCCTATTAAGCTTGTCTGGCCCAGCAGCACACGTGCCTTATGAAAGGATGGGTACTTGGATCAGTCAAGCATTTGACCACAAACAAGAAAGATACCGATTCATGTAATATCGACCGGATAATGTGAGTCCTGAGGTAGAGAACTGTTAGCATAGTTTACGCTCATCACGACGAACGCTTCAAGATACTCAGTTATGTGACGACTCCGCATTACATTCCTTGGGTAGAAAATTCGATTATGCATCCTGGTTGATCCGTTATTTGTTCGTTTGGATAGCCATGACCCGATTACTTACTGCGTCCCTGTGGTGCAATCTTCCCCCAGAGAAGCAGAGTTTCACTTTATCGAATGTCCCGAGGACTTGGAAATCGCAGTTGGTTCACTTTCGCGAAGCAACTTTTCACTTGCATGTCAACGTGTTGTTTCCCGTTATTTTCTTTACAAAACTTACTCGCTGAACAATCGAAAGGAAGAGATTTCTGAAGCGAAAATCGAAAGCTTTGCGAACAAGTGCGACAGCGAACGAACGAGGATCGGGACCAATATTCTAGCGCTTTCATGCACACCTGATAGGCTGTTATCGCTGATTGTAGCTCAGGGGTGGAGGTCATGCTTTTTCTGGGCTGACCGGATCTCTCGATGAGCCCTAGAATTATCAGGACAACTCAATCCTATTGTGGACGAACAACGTACAAATATGATGACAAAGAATGTAAGTCTGGATAAAATTTTGTTCGACCCATTCGGTCGTGTACTCAGGCTTATAATGATTCAATAATGAGGATGCAGCGAATAGGTCAAAGAAGAGCCTAATGAATCATTCACCAGTTAAAGGTCATCCCTTTTCACACTAGACCTACCACTTGAGATCGCCTGGCGTGCAACTGTAAAAAGAGAGCTCCAAATCAAAAGACAATCACAATTTCGTATCAGTCTGCCCAATCCTGTTGTTGCATTTAGCTTAATATTCACGTTGTGTCAATATTAACGTGTCAAGTAGCCTTAACTGATATTTTTAGCCTGACTTGGGATCCTGGATGATACTATGCTGCAACCACAACCCCGGAAATTTGTCCCCGTTGTTACCTTGTCATGTATCTGAATGCACACCCACACAAGTACGCCTAACTGCTGTTAACCCACAATACAGGGCAGTGCATTTCGTGCAGTAATGACCATACGCAAGATGTTTTGGATGGCGTAGTCTCAGGCGTAGGACTGGAAACCCACGTAACAGACTGTCAAAAGTTTGACGAGCCATCTGAACATAAAGGTGGAGGGACAAGGAACTTTTTCCTGGTTAGTTTTCAGTTCTTTCAAGAGATTCATAATTGTGACATAGCCTGATGATTCGAAACAAATTTCCTAATGCCTGGTTACTGAAGGCCTCATTCTAAAGCGGGAGAGTTGTAGTACCTTCCTACGATTTTTTGAGAGTTGTCTACTAGTGGCGGCTCTGTCTCACTTATTTGGGTAAGTGGTTTAATAAGTTCCTACCGAGGACACTGAAAATCAATTCATTTACCGCTGCATCCAAGGACCACAGGGTTACCCTTCAAGATAGATTTCTTGCCATCCGAAGGCAAAGGTGATAAGTACTTTCGAGGGAAACCATATGTTTCACAAATGTGGTGGGAATGACAAGTCACCATTTCTGTTTTACCCTGCCGGTCTAATTGGGTAGTAACTTATGTTTCAATTGCAGGATTTACAACGGATATTTCCATAGGATGATAAATCCTGGTCGGATCCTTAGAAAACACGAAACGGTCCTTTAGTCATGCTGCTCTTTTTTGTTGACCATCTTAGCTATGGGGTTACAAATACAAGTAAGCCAAAACTAACACGCGTAACCGGCAAAGCAAACAGGCGAGCCGGATAAATTACAACTAGTCATTAAGTGTGGATAATTAAACAGGATATTGTAACAGGAGTCTCGCCAAGTCAACCAGAGCAATAAGTAGGCCAGTTATTGACATCAGTCCTTGATTATCAGTAAACAAACTACAGAAAATAAAAATTCTTACTCACACTCGTTTCCTACTTTTTATCTTGGTAGGTGATTATCTTCATGAAACGGGCTCATTTTCTCGGTCCCTATGGTATTTACATTGGGAAGGCTTCTTGAAAATTTAGTTACTCAAGATATTATGTAAGCGTACCAAATTCTGTGAAGGTATCCGGCATTCATGAGAATAAAGCTCATCGTAGATTAGTTGAATTTTCAGAAAAGCAAAGTAGCGCCTACAGTCCTTAAAGTCGGGTGACACGTAGGTTCAGAAATCCGGCCAAACCAGCGTTCTACAAATCCAGTACTTATTGTTTTCAACTCATTATAAACGGTTTTAGAAGTGCAGTGAAAATTCTTTTCACAATGGACTTCGTGATCTGGCTACTCATATGTGCCAGAATGCTCTATAAGATATGATGCACCCCGGTTTTTTAGAAACGACTTGTGCAAATCGCCGCTTGTTTACTTTACGACCAAACAAGGATACACCAGGTCGACAGTTTCTGAAAGTGGCAGTTTGAACGGAGGGATGCTAAAGACGTTCAGTATTAATGCACATACAATGACACCTCTTCACATCATCCACTGACGAGACCAGCCAACACTGGTTGGTTATGATTGTAGATAAAATTGACTTTAATGTTTATTAGAAAATTTCATGAAAAAGACAGCATGTACAACAGTGTGGTGGACAATAAGTCCCAATCTGCTGTCCATAAGAGTCCACAAAATCACTTCCCGGGATTGATGAAAATCAATTTAAAAGTAAACGACAGGAAGCCTGTGTTATACTGTAAGCTTCTACTGTTTTAATGAACGCAAAGGAGTGGTTCTCAACCAAACAATCCGGACTCCAACAAGAGCAACCATAGAAGCTTGTCTTACATGTGGTTGGTAGTCCGAATTTAGGAGACAGCCGCGGATATTATTGGTTGCTTCATGAACATTGGGCAACTTTATAAATTTTCATCTGATTTTCAACTTGAACCGGCTTCTTGGCCTAATGTGAACTTGCGATATATAATCTGAAATTTTACCGTGTTCAGTATTTGAGTAAACCAGATTACTTTATGAAGGATGAACCCGTTTCCATGCAGGAACGGCGAGAGTGATATCAAACATCTTTTTATGCCCCTCTTGTGCTAATTCTGAGCCAGTACCAAAACTACCACTAATGTAATGTTTTTCAGTGAGAAAGAATCAGTCATCTTAGAAGAAACAAAAATATATGCTGTATGGCTCAGGAGAATTTCAGTGATGAGCTGTCCCTCCTCAAAATTTTCCCACCAAATAAGATTTTTTCTTCTGTTGAATTGATGCTTTGACTGGGTTTGCTTATTTTTTAAACTCTCTACTTACCAGTAATAGGTTGTTGCAGTTCTGGTTTGTCGAGGTTTCAACGTTTTATTCACTTAGCTGCCCCATTCAAATCATCACATTTAGCGAAGAACACCGCTTTGTGAGCAATTCATTATCTTCTAATGGCAAGCAAAACTGCCTAACATCACAGAATTACCGACCAAAGAGGGTACGTGTTTACTTATGTGTTTAAGCATGTGGACTGGTCTAGCCAAGTGCAATGCTACAAAACCTGTCATTATACCAGACGCAAGTCACCCTGTAATTTTGTGGCGGTCATTTTTGGGTTTGTTTCCACTACACTTTTTCCAAGTTTTTTTTACTTTGCTTGGCTTATATACACATCTCTGCTGCGAATCCAGGGACACATATAAGACCCTTGATAACCAAAGCTTGAGGATTATGAATCGCAGATCTAAACACCCGAAGACCCTAAACTTTATGTATTTTCAAACATGCGCCCATATTTTTTGAAACATGTTGCGAAAGAATAATCGGATGGCTGTGCAAGAAAATTAGTGTTCGAGCTGACGATAGAGGACAACACCTGCAGGTTGCAATATTGATTTCTGATTCATGTCTGGTCTCTCCTACATTTTTGTCCGGATATGTCACGGTTTTTTTTCAGTAAAACTAGTGAGCCATCTCGACAAAAATTTATTCACGCTGTACGACAGAAAAGGCATTCAGTCGCATTACCACTGAGTTGTCCCCGGGGGAAAGCTACAAGTTTGCTCCTAGTTCTTTGATAAAGTAACAATCGTGTCAGCAAACTTACGGCGGCAATTGTGACCGGTTACTGGAATTCAAAGTAAAATCTTGGAACCAGAAAATGTGGCAACTTTTAACCCTTTGAACACTTACCTGAAACCATATTTTGATTTGACGTTCTGTCAGGGTTAGCGTGTGCGCAATTTCTATCCGCCGACGGCGAGTGAGATATCTGGAAAACGAAAACGTTTATTTACAAAAGTCACTTTCTCAGAAAAAAACTAACTCCGGTGAAAGCTTGAAGAAGAGCGTTGTGCATGATGTATTAGTGAGAAAACCTACTTGTTAAAGTGGAATTCCTTCTCAAGTTCAAGTGTCTGATATCGTGTATAAGTCTGTCGCGTACGTTTTTGATCGGCCCCAACGTCTGGAAAATAAAACAAAATGGTTAACTGTGTGGATTCAGTGGGGAAAAAAGAGATCGTTTTGCAACTTAACATGGCCAAATCTGTATGTCAAATATGTTTATATTCCTCTACTTAGGCTGTTTTAGAGGCTCGCACGGCAGATCTTGTTTTGAAAGTCACAAAACTGCAAGGGGTTCATGGGTGAGTTTAGGCCAACAGAGTACAAAAAGTCACCAATCCGGAAAACCTCGCTTCTCAACAGTTAGCAAAACTGACGGGAAAGTATGTTCTGTGGGAACTGTACTTTCCTTCCAAACGAACGCTTTTTCCTATGTGGGACGTCTTCAAACACATTTTTGATACCCAGCACACTCTTTTTGGGCTTTTTGCGTTTTTTACCCAAACACGTCTTTGACAGAATCACGTAAGATGTTTGCAGTCTACCAACGCAGTCTACATTATGTATCAACTGAAATGCGAGCAGGCACGTGCATTTGCTTGTCGAATTAGAATAAGCACTTACACTGGGCCTTAAAGTCTGAGCCTGTGTTATAGGAAAAATTTCGCACACTGAAAGCAAGGTCATAGGCCAATTGTATATTATCCGGCCCACAAATCTGAGACCGGAAAATACTACACAATATCCGGCATGATGAACAAGATGATTAGGCTGAATTATGAGGGACAAGGGTAGATTGAAATATTTGTTGATTTGGAATGACTTTAACTCGACTTTTAACGACATCAATTTTCTGGAACTCCCACAGTATTTTACACATTCGTTTTGTACCTTAACAGTTCATACGATGTTTCCAGGTCCATTAGGTCTCCCGAATCTACACTCTGTTGAAATTCCTCTACTGGCACCTGCAAACCTTTCCGCAACACTCAACCGCTATGAAGCGTAAATCGTGGGTCTCTTTTCCCTGCTTTATCAATGAAGATCCGCGAGAATCTGTCGTATTTTTACCCACTAGCACGATAAGTGACTGTGATACCGCAGAGACCAATCACATCAGTTGTCGAACTAAAACCATTCCGCCAAAGCAGCAACGCTTCATTTCACAAAATATGTGCAAATCATTGGAGTTATACATTCGTTTACAAAATGACCTGATGTTAACCGGAAGCTCAGTTAAATATAAACTCGATATTACTTTGCATCGCAACACATATTTCAACATCTTGAGGCGACCTTGGTGCAATATATTCAGTCATATCAGTTGACTTTCCCATTGAAATCAGAGTAACTTTCACATGAACAAACCCCTCCGCTTGCGTAAAACTTGGTGTTCATAGAAAATATAATTTTAATTGCTATTTCGAGGACTGTGCTCCCCTGGTTAGCTTCTTTAGGGCAAAACTGGTAGCGGACTCTCGGAGTACGCTTAAAATCGGTAAGCCTATAATTAAAAATGGGTCAAGAAAAACGTACCAGTAGTTACTCAGTCATCCCTCATTTATATTTTGCCTCCACTACCTGTGGCAGTGATCACTCTCCAGGTGTGAAATGTAGGCGTTTCTTAATTTGGTTGGAGTAGAGGGGCTAAACGCTGACCTGAATTGTGCAAAAGTACACATTGACATTCCGGCCCACGTTGTGTTACTACTACCCTGACCCCTGTCAACAAAGAGACGGATCGCGAGAATTAGATGAGTAAGTTGCTTTTTTGGTCATCACTGACTGAACCTTTTGTTTAAACCTGTTTGGTGTTGTACTGGTGTAGCGGAGATGACGATGCTTAAACCAGTAATAAGTTTAATTCGGGTCTGATTACCACAGTGGTCACAAATACAGTCACCCCGAAACACTTATTAGTAGAGCCATTGGTTATCATAAAGAAGCGATAAGGCTGCAAGTTTGTCTTAGTAACCAAGACCTATGCAAATGGCCACAGGTGTCAAGATGGTCAGCTAAATCGGAATTGGCTAGTGGTCGGAGTTGAAGCAGGCATGTAGTGTTTCTTGCAGTCACAATTGTAGTGCATGTTGATGCCTTTAGTGATCTATTCGACTGGCTTCTGTTCCGTTGCGCATCCTGGATAGTAAGCACTCCTTGAGTCCTACAAGAGACCTGAACTACCTCCCAAAAACCTCACCATATTATTCTATATCGTTCAAAACCAGCTTAGCATAAAGAACTCCTACGACATCACAAACCTTTGTGGCCTGAAGATTAAGTTACCAACATCATTTCTGTCAATGATACGCTGGACTCAACTGGGGATTGAGTACAGTTCCGTTCGCTCAAAACTTTCTTCGTTTTCTTTAATGTTTTGAAAATCCCGCAATTATTCGAAATCAGACTGCAAGAGACGTCTTATTTCATGCAGTGATCAGTATTTCCAGCTTCTACGGTGTCGTTTAAATCGATAAACTAACCCAGTGAATATCCATATTTCTCACATTCTAACGTTATATTACCCAGAATCGGACGTGTAAATTAGGATATTTAACATCTGGTTTCATCAAAAAAATAAAATTAATTGGAATAAAGACCTAAACACTGACCGTATCTTGCGTAATATGAACAAAAAACATTGTTGAAAGTAAGTCTTAATGAAAAAGCGGAAGTGATGATCAGTCTTGTCGCATAGCGCACGACACGGCTGACCAACATAGAGGACACTCATAGAAAATGGAAGCATTTGGCGAACCTAACTCCTATTAGTGCCCGTAGATTTTCAGTGAAATCAACCTGTTTAACTAAACTGCATTTGAGGCGTGCGTTTAGGCCTCAGTGTTTTAGAACAAAATATTTTGCCAAAAAATTATTCTCATTCTTAAACACAGCTTTATTGGGAAATATGCAAGAAGTACGCATGATGATATTATACACATATTTGCCGTCTCGTAAGTTAAATTCAGTAGAAAATTGCGGTTTTGTGTAAAGTAGTTTGGGAGTCGGGATATACACGTGCTTGCATATCATTCTGGTTTACACTAGATAGTCAAATGAATCTCTTGTTTACGATGTCCTTCTTCAACTGTGTTGCACCAGGCGGCCTCGTGCCTCGTTTGGGTCGCCCGTGGAAAACAGATTGATTGGCAAATGAGTGTACTTCGCTAATTTTGCACAGTTTGGGTTCAAGTAGAACATAATGTTGAAGAAAACTCGGAAACTGTGCCTACGGAACGAGCTTTAAGATGGGTGAACCTGGTAGTGGGCGATCGAAGAGTTTTCGGCAAAGTTGGCTTGTTAGTAGGTGGTCACATCTACACTATTTTAATGGTAGTTTGTTTTTGCAGTAGCGGGTGTGAACAAGCCAGTCTCGTCCACAGGTTGTGCCTGGACATACATCGCTCTTCATGACCGATTAGGCTTGGACTTGCTAACTCCACATTGAAAGACTTGCCATTTGGAACAGTGACCTACAAACTGCCGGTAGGACTAAAAATAAACAAGACCTCGTTCTCCATCGTTCAGTAAAGTCAGAAAATTTGGCAGCACCACGATGTGGAGCTTTTTGTTGTTTTAAAAGTAACTTAGTATTGCTATAGTAATAAAGCATAACGTCCAAGAACACCTGAAGAGTTGGTAACCAAGCCATTGGGCCGTAGATTCCTCAACGGCTCACATACCAATTAACCACTGCAAACTGCAGTGATCTTTGACGCATTGAAGAATTCGTGTCAGTGTACACTGAGGTCATATCTTCCAACCATCTAATATATTTGAACAGCTACAGAAGTTACACTACATCCAAATATTGCTTGCATTAGAGCTGAGAGGAAAGAATAAATGTGAGTTGTTAGGATTGAATGAAAAATGTTTTGATAGGATTTAGGATATGCTCTTGTTATCCTGGCGATCGTCTTGGTAGTACCTTGGCCTTCCACCGCCTACAAGCCTCTATAGGTTTAATTTTGAATGGGGTTCAGGTTAAAACTTTTTTGCTCATTATTCATTGACTAGCACATGAACCAATACAGGTCTTTTTCTCCTGTTACATGCATTTGACTCCTTTCCATTAGAGAGGCACCAATGCCATCTGAAAAGTCCAATTGAACCGTAGAACCCTGCTCATTCAACCTATAATTCTGCAAAATGACAAATTTCCTGAATGAGTTTCGCCTCAGTGATACCACTAAGGAATACTGTGCGTACCCTCCACAGCGGACATGGAGATCTGACATGACAGGAGTAAGCATACACTTTCACTCACCACGTATCGGTCATGTGGTGCAGCTCCATCTCCGAGTTTCTTCAAATTCAGCTGATTGATGGCAACACAAGCAACCCTTTAAATTGCTTCCCTAAAGTATCACTCCCTCTACAGCTAGCCGATCCAACTAATCTGCCTTATCCTGTAGAATTACATTTCCAATAGATCGTTAGATTCTGTTATAATGCCTTGTCCACTTGTCATTGCCGGTTATCGGTAGTACAAATCCCTACGTCAACTTGCCTAACGTAATACTACAAAGTTAACAAAATACGTTCTGTAGGCTGGGATTCTGTGCTGTAATTCCTCACACGTGATAAAGTGGTATGATTCGATCCAAGAACACACGCATCAGTGCTAATATTCGTGCCGCAAATGAATCAACGGTTGGATGAATTATCATCCACAGAGGTGATGTAGGACAATAAATTTGTGGTGTTCAGTCTCAGCGGACGTTGAACGCTGGTTCTACGATTGGTTTCAAAAGAATTTGATACAGATGTTCCCCTCAACATTAGTTGGACAACATTTAGTCATGTACGTTTAGATTTCAAGTGCTCAAATGCAGTTTCCGCTTACCGTTTCGTTCTACTTCATTCGGTAGTAGAATAATGCGCCATTTTTTCAAAAGGGTGGTTAATGACCCCGACACACTGACTCAATAAAGGAAGACAGCGCGCAAAAAAGAGCAAATCTGATTATTATTTGGGAAATGAAAGCTTGAGGGACCAAAGAACAGTAGAAAAATAGTCACTGAGGTTATAGTGTTTCATTTTAATAGCGTTTGATTAGGTGGTTTCTGCTCGACTGGTGACGGAACATTTTCAAACGAATTGCTACGCTCAGCGAACAGA